CTTATTCACATTAAAATTTTCAGTATATTTGCTGTTGTCTTTACGGAGATACGACTCAGCAAAGATGAAAAATGAAATTTCGTAACCTTCAGCAAGGTCACAAAATAATAACTTGGATGATCTATAGATATTTTTATCAATGTAGTATTTTCTCTGAGTTGTTGCAAGCTGAGCCGAAAATCTCCTGGATGACAGTTTATGTGCTATCCTTTAAAAATATATATTCATTACCTGTCCGCTTTCGAATGCGTTCAAGATAGAAAAAAGTTAAAGATGGAACCAAAACGTATGAAACATCCTATATATGAAGGCAGAGAGCTGGTCTCGATACTTGATACTTCAGAAGTACACAAGTTTGCTTTTCTCTCCAAAAATATCTGTTCGTTTCAAATAGAGCACAATGTTAATTTATCTAGTGCTAAGAAATAAAATTGGTCTCATGAAAACTAAGTTAGCATTTTCATATCAGTCAAAGGAGTTTTCGATGGTAAAAGTAGTTTTATATATCTTCAGCAAAGACAATCAAAATTATATATGATAAATTTAAATAATGTGAAGAGTTGAAGAAAATTCGGCGGACTCATCTATCATAATGAAAAAAAATTAATTAATAAGGCTCAATGAATAGCGAATTTATACAAAATTGCTTTTGGAAACAGAATTGTGAGACCCCTGTAGTTAACTATATGTATACTTACCTACCTAATAATATACCAAGCGTGCTATGTATCTAACTATCTATCTATCTATCTTCTTATTAAAATAAAAAAGCATGCATGAAAGAAGACGCCATATACTATTAAGCGTACGCAAATACAACGTAGAAGATATACAATGAAAAAAAAGCAAAATAGATTTGCAATGAAACAAACGAAATAAAAAAACAAATCATGAAAATGGAAACTGAAACGAACAGATTGCGACAATATATGAAATTTGAAAAATGAATTACCTTAATCACATAACGAGACGAAAAAAATAGTATCGAATTTCATCTTTGCTATAAAATTTTCATTCTAGCTAAAAAAAGGGGCCAAAATCAGGTGTGAGTGAATGAAAGAGATTTATACAAGAAAGAAAAAAAACAAATAGGTTCTATTTCAAGCTCGAGAATGTTCTACTCGTAATCTTTTATTTTTCTTCTCGCTTTTACAGTCAATTATCGTGATTATGACAATAAGAGAAAACTAATTAAGTACTTAGATTATTTTACGCATATATAAAAAACTTCATTCACGTGAGCCTGATGAAAAATTAATTGATGGAAAGATTAGATATTATATGATGGGATGACTTGTATATTTGGCTCGTGCTATCGTTAGTATCAAAAATACGACAGACGATGATGAAACATGAAACAAGATACTTCTTCACTTTAACTATATGCGTTATTAATGGGTTGATTGTCGTACTACGCAATAGTATACGGATGGCTAATTTGACTAAGCTAAAGAACTATTTGCAACGTCAATTGATTGTTTCACAATGGCTATCATAGTATCGGCATGTTTTTTGTTCATAAATGTGCACTTTTTAGCTGTACACAGACAAAAATAGGCATGGGCTTAAATTTTATAAAATATTTACTTTTTCTATGTGCAGACGTGTTTTTAAAAACTTTCACCTATTTATAAAGTCAATAAAGGCTCACAATTTCGGAATGAAGTGAGAACAAAAAAAAATTTCATCTAAAAAACGCAATCGAAGTTTCCTATTGCTGATCGTTGAAACGCTAGAGATTTTCAGTAAAATCAAGAACAAAAACATTCTTTTCAAAAGTGTACAAACAGTTCTCTAATAGAGCATTAACATTACAGTTAATTAGTTCTCTAATCATGATGATAAAACGTTTAGCAGAACACGCATCGAATTCCGAATATTAGAGTGTTTATATACGTGTGAGATAAACTAAACATAAAACACTAGTAACACAGACCTTTTACATGAGTATACGGTACAGAACACTGCAAATAAAATATTGGACTTGCACATGTGTCAAGTATAAATTTCTTCGCTTGTACCGAATCACTTTTTGCCACTTGTGTTCAAATGCTTCAAGGACACTGAGGAAAATGGGGAGTGAAAACGATGGCTCTCACACAACCCACTAGGGGTGGCGTTTTCTTGTTAAATTATTTTGAATTTAAATCACAAGTAACTTTGAAAGAGTTGATAATTTCAGTGTAAAAATTTCTGCTGATGATCTATCATTGAAATAATTAGATAAAAAATTAAAGTTTTAACGGTGGTCGAATTTTATCAAAGTTGGTAGGCCTTCTAGCGGGTCATCTTTGAACTTATCCAAACAAAATATAATCTAGAATTTTTTCGCCTCGGTATCATCTATGGTCTCATTCTTATATTTGTTCAATTCAAATGATAAAACGCAAGATTTATGAAATACCAAATTTATTTTCAGCATCAGTGTGATTATTTACAGCAAGAATATGATCAGATTAGTATTCTAAAACAACTGCATAAACAAGATGCAACATCATTGGATAGAAACTTCATCGAGTGCATTCAACGTACAACAAATAAAAATATCATTAATGTGACAACGAGCTCGTCGTTATGAAGTGTTTGTTGAGAACTAAAAGCATCGTGATCATGAAGTTTGACAAAAACTCATTATGTGTTATCATGGATGAAAGTTTCTATAAACCAAAAGCGATTGAATTATTATCAACCAGTAGTTCATTTAGGAAGATGGGTGATGAAAAGAAGAGAGGAAAAACTAACACTATTCAACACGTAGGAGTGACTGTGGACCATACATCAGATTGTTGTTTGAATGAGCTAAAAACGTGACAAAATTATTACGAGATGACTATGATTGTAGTCGACGTACTGATTCACGATATTCGGTACTGTTTTTCAAACCTTAAACACATGAAAAAGGCATGCCGTTGTAGCTAATAATTTCAAAAGCAAACAGCTATAATTATAAATTAGGCCAATATTTAACGAATTTTTAGATGAGACACGGTCTAGAGGATGCGAGTTTGAGTGTTCTTATTTTCGCTCACTCAATCACACCTATATCCACATCCACACCGTGACTTCATATTACCATTGATAGTCACTTTTTCGTTGGCTGCCCTCTTCATTAGTCAAATTAGTTCCCGCTGTTACATTGCAGTCCATATACATTTTTCATAAATGTCAGTATCAGTGAGTTCCTCAAAAAGACTGCCACGCTTGGATAAGACCTTTAGAAATTCAAAAAAAAATATTTAAAAAGATCGGGCCAGACTATTAGTCGTTTTCAGCCGAATCGAAATTTGATCTGAAAAGTCTGAGCTAAATCGACCCATGTCATAAAAATCGCGTTACTTTTGGCGATTAATTGGCGATTTTTCGAATATCACAATAAATCGGCGATTCTGCAACAAATTTCAGCAACAAGTACTAATTTACAATAATAAGTGTTGTTTTTTCGTTTATTTAAATCGTTCGGATATCTTAATGAACGATAAGCATAAATTAATAAAAATATTCTTTTTTTTAGTTTATTACAACATCTCAATAAACGGTAAGTATTATTCAATAAAAATAATTGTGTTCCTTTATTGAGGTCATGTGGTCATCATAATGATCGGATAAGTGTCATTGAATAAGAATATGTTCTTTTCTTTTACTTAGACCGTTCGATCATCTCAATAAAGCGTGAGTATTATTTTCTCCATTTTTTTTCTCATTTAAATTGTCTGAACACCTCAATTTACAGTAAGTATTATTTTATAAAAATTACTATTTTGTTTTATTTAGATCGTCTGATCATCTTAATAAACAGTAAGTATTGATTCATAAAAATAAATAATTTTTTCTTTTATGTAGACCATCGCAACATTTCAATAAATGGTAAGTATTCAATAAAATAATTTTTTATTCTTTTATTGAGGTCATCTGATTATCACAATGAACGGGTAAGTATCATTGTATACGCATATATATTCGTTTTTATTTAGAGCGTTCGATGGTCTCAATGAATAATAGATATTAGATTATTTTATTTTATTGTTTTATTTACTGCGAATGGGGAGAACGATATTGTCTCATTCGCGAGTAAGAGTGTCGACTTAGCATGAGCATTAGACTAATGCTAAGAGCAACACTTGTTACGATTCTAAGAGAAACATATTGCAATTTTTATTAATTAATGTAATGCTAAAGCGAAGCCATATCCCTGAGTAATTTCGATACTGTTTTGTGACATTTTTAATACAGAAGCATTGTAGCTACTGTTAAATTGATGCAATATTGCATTGATTCAAAAGTAGTTACGATGCTTGTGAAATAAAATTGGAATATAAAAGAATTGAAATCAGTCAGGGATACTTCGCGTTAGCATGACAACATTCAATACAAATTTCAATAGTTTTCTCTTATGATCGTAACACAAAGGTATTGCTGTTAGTATTAATTTAATGATGATGCTAAGCCGACACTCCGATTCGCGAGAAACATGTATGCGTACGATACTGAGCGACAATAGCATAGAGATCGAGACCTAGTCATAGTCGTAGGTCCAAATGCTATGACCAGGTTCGATCGTTGGAAATATTATTTGAATAATCCCGCTTTCATTTAAGAATAGCAAAGAAAATCAGGAAAAATCGGGGACTAAAATTGGCAAAAATCACCAGCCTAGGCGATTAATCGGGCTAATAAATCGCGATAAAATCGACGATTTTTGCGCGATTTTGACGACATGGGGAATCCGAGGCCTACCTAGTTTGTTTCATCCATTGGTGTGATACGTTTCCTATGGAAATGATCAGCCTCTTTTTATGCGAAAGCTCAAAATAACTGATCCTATTTATTCATATGAATCTGAAGTCAGACGGAAAAAAACATTTATTTCGAATGATGATGATATTGCGCAAGCTATTTCCATCTGTGATGTGAGTTATGCCATCAATAGTAAGAGATGTATAAGACGTTTTTTTCAATACATCAAATTAAAGATAGTTTGTTGATCCACTTTGTCCCTCTTGTTAATGAATATTCATCATCTCCATAGTGTACATATGCGTCATAAGCATGGTTGATGCTATTGTTGCATTAAGATTTCGACCCATAATTCGTCGATATACACTATTCACTGTTCTGAGTAACTCTTTTCGAAAGATACGCGCCGAAAGAGTGTACACAAAAAAGCCAAACGCATGTGAACCATAAGATAGGATACGTACAATGGCTCCGCTTAAATTGTCTTGTGCAGTTCGCAGAGGGGATTTTTTTACATTTAACGTAAATGTGTCATATAATTTTTGACCGGCAAATGGACCTGTGAAGACAATGATCAATGCCACTTGCATGAGAAGCATTGCTAACAATTGACCGTCGCGTCGTGTAGTGTTCTTGGTCGGTTGTACACCAGTCGGTAACACCTGACGACGAGTTCGTCGAAGGTTGCGAAGAGTTGCCAAACCAAAGGCTAACATAATTAGAGCTGGTCCCAACGCATAAAAGATAAGATATTGAAGATCGGAAAAGATACGATAAGGTCCAGGTTGTGCATAGCATGTTGTTGAAGTAGAACTTTTTTGAATGCCAAAGTAAACCAGCACATTAGAAAATGACACGCTGCATATGATGGTGGCTATTACAATGACTATACGAGCGAATGGCACACTGTTAAAGCGTCGCTGTACTTTTATGCTCGATGCCCATCGATCAATACAGGCCAATAAGATGAACCACGTTGATAGTGTTCGTGGAACATATGTAAAAAAGTATCTCACTTTACAAAATGTGTCCGATGTAGTACTTGGATCAATTTTATAGCCATCGGAAAGAATTCGTGTGAAAACAACCCAATAGAGTATAACAAAGTTGGCCACCGTATTTCCCAAGAGATAATGTGTACATGAATTGATGAAAAGACCTCGACGAGTAAATATTATCATATTTAAAATCACACCAATTGTACCGAGTATGAGAAATGGTAATGGTAAATAGCGATTTACCTGCACATTCATATAGTTAAGCCAAACAGTCGAATTTGATGATGACGACATGATTTGTTTCAATCTGAATGAAATTTCATTTTGTAGTTGATCCATTTATATAGAGGGCATTTCTCTCTCTCTCTCTCTCTCTTTCTCTTTTTCTTTACTATACTGTTGTCTATGAATATAATTACTGAAGCAAAAGAGACATGCAAAGCTATATTTTACAAAATAAATGTCTATTACTTGATTAAATGAACGCAAATCTCATGAACGACATGCATGACAACAATGTCAAATTGTGCCTGGAAGCCATATTAATACAAAAGAGTGAATTTGCATATTTTTATGTGAGAAAGAAATGACGTCAGTAATTATATATTTCATTATCTGGCTCATCAGGAAAGAATTTTCTGAATGCAAAGACTAATGAAGAATATCTTTTGAAAAATTTTATCTCTTCTAAACCTTCCTAAAGAAGGTTTGTTATTTTTCCGATGTGTCACTATTGACTGATGTTTTTCATGCTTGGTCTGAAGCTTCAGTTCAATTGACTGAGAAATGACTGTTATAAACTTCTTTGAATATCTATCTGTTGAGTTTGAATTGATTTCTAGAAAAGAAAAAAAGAGTACCACCATATTTAGCACAGAGAAAATTCGATGTGTTGCACGTTTAAAAAGTATTCATTCGATACTCTAACACACGAGATTATGTATCTACAAGTTTCTACAAATCTATCGGAAAACTTTCTGTCTAATACTCCTTGAATCTTGATTAATTAACACAGGAAATTACTTTCCTATTTATCACTTCAATATCTTATTTTTCTTATCTTCAAAGCGATTTCTTTTTACGATTCTTGACCCAACTAGATAATATCGTTATGCATTATAGTATATTCTTGCCTACAGTGTGGATATTACTGACTGCTTCCCACAACTAGTAACGTAACCACAGGAGGTGAGCTACTCTCGAAAAATGTGAACGCTAAGGAATGCTCTCTTTGATGTGCTTAGCTCCCTCCTACGGTGGTTTCGGCTTGTGACTCAACTTCTTCCTTTCCCCCTAGAATACTTTTCTGGCTTCGTTACTGCTTAACACAGTTCGACTTTTGTGGTGCAAAGCAAGATACAAATCGTACTAAGAAAGATGAAAGAGCTTGTCATTGAACAAAAGAATTATAATTTTTCACTTTATAATGGAGAGATTTATTAAACAATGCTCACTATTTTCGGCCCAAAAACCTGTTCGAGTTCTTTGAGAACAATATTTTCTATGAGCAACTCCAGAACACATAAGATCGTTCACTTCTTAGCTATGTGCATTCTCATATGTTCATCTCAAAAAAATCTATTATTAGATTTTTAAAAAAATATTCAAAGGATGAGACTAAATGCGTATGATCAAATCTAGTGCAACAACCAATTTTTATCCAAATTTTAGACCTATTTATTGGCATATTTTTTGTGAGAAGAATTGACACTTGGAAAAGTTAGAAAATTGTATTGAACTGATTTGTGCAATCACTTGACAAGTATCTTTTTAATCGTTGCTAAAAACGCAGGCGAAATCAATTTTTTTCCTGAATATATAGTTCTATTTTATCTTGTTGATTACTTGGGCGATGTCATACATGGAGAAGGAAGATAAAATATAGAGGTCGTACAACTTACGTTAGAATAGCAATGAATCCCCAAGCGTACAAGGAAGATAAGCCTATATGAACTATCTAATTTTAGTAGAGCCTATGGAAGCATGTCATTTCATACACTTTTATTAATTAGCACATATCTCTCTTTCATGCCTCCTCTCCTACATGCATTCTTTGTGTCGGTTACATTGTCTTTTCTTTTCATACTCTTGCCTCCGTTCGCATTTTCTGTCACACATCCATAGTCTTTTTTCTCTTTCTTCCAATCCATGAAATACTAGTCTTTGACCGGCGAACATATATCAACTAGCAAATTTGACCGAATGTGTCAGGTGTAGTATTTCACATTGAAATAGTAATAGTACAGTTTTTAGAAATGAAGTCTTCTTGACCTCAAAAGTAGCCAATACTTGAATATAAATACATCACGGTACTGTTTTTATTCAACAGGGTCCATTGAACGAACTATGAATGATTTTCGTTTTCCACAATCAATATGTTTAGAGCACGTCAAAATTGTTTTGAATGACTGGTAACTGTGGTATCCATTGATAGTTCGCAATAGACAATCTCCAAATGACATCGAAAGAAAAATTCATTATCGCTCTGTTGTCTGAAGCTTTCCTTACAGAAAGACATGAGACCAACTCAACTACTCTTCTTCTCAACAAAACAGAATAAAATATTTGGAACAATTTATTGAAGATCACAGAAAACAATACCACAAATTCCATTAACTGTTTTCATCAGAAATTATTCATCAAAGTCCTCAATTCAATCCGAAAATTTACTGTTTTCAATTTATGCCTTCAAAAAGATGTTCTACTTTTCTCTAATGAATATTCTATAAACTAAAAGTTTTCATTATTATTCAGATTCTAAAAAATCAAAACAATTTTCGGAGATTTCTAAAAGAAACCATGTCGAAAAGCTCTTTAGTCTAGCAAATGATAAATCATAAAAACTAGTTTCATCACTAAAATATACTGTGGAAATGCCAAAACAGTGTTGTACATTTCACGATTTTCTCGACATTAACTTTTGCATGGAAAAGTGGCTGAATCGTATTATTCTGGGAAGTAACAAGTCCAGTCGAGAATACTACTTATCATGCGTCAGTCTTTTTGACTTATAAAAATATTGTTTCATTGATTTTTTTTATCATATTTTATATAATTAGCACTTTCCATAGTGATATTTTTATTTTCATTTTCGTTTTTCATCAGTGCATCGAAAAATTAAATGAAAACAAGTTGACATGCACAATGACGTCAAGTATTGTTAGAAAATTTTCAACATGAAATCCACCTTCTCGGAGCAAAAGAGTGCGGGCTAAGATCATTGTGACTTTTTCAGACGATAGTATCTCCTGAAAGAAAGCATCTTTGAATTTCAAGTGTGAAAAACATTTTAATAATATACCAGTTAAAACGAAAACCCAATGATGTATAACGAAGAAAAAGATGATGATAATTGTACTTCAAAAAAAAAAAGTCAAAGTTAATGAACAGTATGAATATGATCTGTTAAGTGATGATAACAAAAATTTATACTAATGAATATTGTTGCCTTGAGATCATTGCTTCTTGTTTGTTGATTTTAATTAAGATTTAAAATTAAACTTGACAGTTGAATTCATCGATGTATTCTCGTTTCGTCGAAAGCTTAATTGATTTTCTTGTTTCGTCGAAAATTTTTATACAGCTGTTTTCCCAGTGTTCCTGTTTCGTCAAAAAATATTTTGCTAGCGTTCTTGTTTCATCGAAATATAAAACTGAAAGAAAATATGAAGAATATAAGTAGTTTATTCTACAGGGTATAACAAAATTATAGCCCCCTTTTGTCGTTGAGATTTTTTAATGAAGACGGATAGTTAGATCAAATCTAAATAGTGATTTCGATAGCCCTTGAAGTTCTCTATCGAAAACAGTATAGATCAAAATCCCCAAAAAAACTTTCCTTAGAAAGTTTTACAAAAAACCGAAGTGCTCCAAAATCAAGTGCCAGAGGCACTTGAGAAAAACATTTNCTCCAAAATCAAGTGCCAGAGGCACCTGAGAAAAACATTTCAAAATATAGTCATCCGAAAGAGCAAAAAATTCTGAGCAAAATGAGGGGTCGCCCAGTTCTCCATGATGTTTTCTTATAAAGTTATAAGCAGCAGAAAAGTGAAAAAAACTTTAAAATTCATCAAAAAACCGCCAAAAAAAATAGCCTAAAGACACTTTTTTCCCACTTTTCTGATGTTTATAACTTCATAAGAAAACATCGTGGAGAACTGGGCGACCCCTCATTTTGCTCAGAATTTTTTGCTCTTTCGGATGACTATATTTTGAAATGTTTTTCTCAAGTGCCTCTGGCACTTGATTTTGGAGCACTTCGGTTTTTTGTAAAACTTTCTAAGGAAAGTTTTTTTGGGGATTTTGATCTATACTGTTTTCGATAGAGAACTTCAAGGGCTATCGAAATCACTATTTAGATTTGATCTAACTATCCGTCTTCATTAAAAAATCTCAACGACAAAAGGGGGCTATAATTTTGTTATACCCTGTAATTACTTTCATTCTCTTGAATAGACTAAGTTTCATCAAAGAAACTAATTAAACTATACAGTTACTTCATTCAACCAACGATCCAGTACCATCACGAATAATTTATTTGTAAATCGAAATCCTTGATTAAAATATTTAGTGGTTATAAACAACAAAGTCTTAATTGTAGAAAAATAGGGGTTAGAGTGAGGGTGTTTGATTACTTCGGTATATATGAGGACGTGGGTGACCGTTTTCTCATTGCCTACTCATACACTCAACACTACTAATATCTCAATATTTTCACATCTCGGTGTTTGTAAATTTCAATATCTTTGCCTTTCGACATTAGTGAGGTGAATCCATTAGCTCTGTATAATTCATATAATGCTCTCAACAAATTTTTTCAACAGATCCACCAAGAATCCTTTTTGAGAATTAGTCTGTTAAAGAAAATGAAATGATCGTGAATAAGCTAATTACATTCTGCATACTTTTATTCAATTTTTAATTTTCGACGAAACGAGAACACACAAAAAAAAAATTTCGACGAAAGGAGAACACTCAAAAAATGATTTTCGACGAAACAAGAAAACCAATTAAGCTTTCGACGAAATGAGAACTAACCATCAACGACAAGTAGATCTTAAAGAGCCGAAATTTTATTTTATTTCTTTTTATAAAAGTAACCAACTAATATCGAAAGCAATCAATGAAAGGCAAATTCACGGAAAATAAATCGTGTAAGCCGTTGTAAATTCTTTTCCTATTTGTTATTCTTGTTTTCATTTATGATAAAGTCGATGATCCAAGCGTTAATTTTTGGTGATTAATACTCAAACTTTTGGTGATTAAAAAATTGTTATCCGTGAAATAATGTCTTATCGCATTTCACAGATGATCCAAAACAAAACAAAATGAGACAAAATATACATATCCAATAATATGCATAGGCTAAGATTTACAACCATGTGAATACGTAAGTAAAAGAAAACTCTTGAGAAAAAAATGCTCTAATGTAGTATATTCAATTAGAATGAAAGTTATGAATCAGAGAAAATTTAATTTTATAAATTATGATTTTTTTATATATAAGCAAATGAATTTCTTTTGTGAACGAATGACTCGAGTTACACAGTCGAATCAAAATCTTCTAATTTTCGAGTGCGAGTCATGACTCGGGCCCGTCCAGCCCTGCATTCAATGCGATAGAATTAACAATATCAACAATCAATACAAAGAACAACGATGAGATCTATACCATCTTTGTTTGTTATTCTAATTTTCTCTTGAGTAATTATTATGCAAGTAATGCCAAAGGCTGAATTAGCCTGACTATCTGGTAACAATCCTAAATCTTATTGGCTTCCTGGTACTCAAAATAATCGAAATTAATATTAAAGACATGACTTCAAAATAGGTCAGTTGTTGATTCATCTAAATTAAATTCTTAATCTACACTATTTAATATTTTACATCCTGTTCACCAGTTGAAAGGTGTCTGCTACTGATATTATTATTATTCTTATCTTTTGAGATAAGATTGAATTTTTCTATAAAAAGCAAATCTATAAAATTCTTGAGTCCAGCTTTTGAGGATAAAATTCATTCTAAATATTCGTATACATTTCAATGAAGAGTGCACTCCATTGTAAGTTGAATAACCTCGGCTAGGAAGCAGCCAGAGATTTGCGGTTTTCAGTTTTGGAAAAAGCAGCATGTAATCTATATGGAGATATAAAAAAAAGCAACAGGACACCGAGTCTTGAGGTCGCTTACCTGTGAAATTTTAGCAATTCACCTAAGCAATGAAAATCCATTTGGCATTGAAGTTTTTTGGTATAAATTTAGTAAGACAGTCGATTGTGTACTATTTGCCACCAATCCCAGATTTCCAGCTTTTGTTCTTAGGGAGTTATGGCCATTTGACTAAACTTTGGGTCTGTGGCAACGCATGTTCGACAAAATCAAATTCAAAAATTTCAATATGAAACTTAACCCATAGATAGGTCTACTAATCATTAAAATCGTCTGGAAGTTTCAGCCAAAACGAATATGTCTGTCTTGAGATATTGAACTTTCAAGAAATAATGGCTTTTCACAGACAGGTCATACAAATCGAATTTATTTTGAAAATCACAGATAGGCGATCTTGAGACTCGGTGTGATGTTGCTTTTTTATATTTTCATATAAAGTTGATGCTACTCTGTCCAAAACTGAAAACTCAGGTCTCTAGCAGCTTTCTAACCGAAGTTATTCAAGTTACAACGGAGTGCACCATTGATTGAAATGGATATTACTTTTATTTAAAATTTGAATTATTATTATTATTTTTTTCTTTATTATTTGGGTTGCTTTCATCCATCACAACCATTTCAATGTCCACAAAGTAAACATTGTATTGCTCTTCAATTTATTTGTGATATATAAATATCTGAATATGTGTGAAATTTTGATCCAATATTGTTGCATGTTTTTTGTTAAAGGAAAAATTTAAATGAGGTCGATGTGCTCTCGATTGTTTCGTGGCATTTTTATGTTGGATCACATCAGGATGATATATTCGGCTGTTGAATTCTATCGCAAAACCGGCAGATTTTGTCACCACTTGTCGAAATCCCTGGTACCAGATGCTGATAATTTCCAAGACAATCCTATGGGAATTTTTAGGACACGACAGCGACACTTTGATGTGGGAAGTGCTATTTTCGAAAAGTACTCCCACCCTTCGTTGATCACGACACGTCGCTCCTGAAGAAATTAAGAAAAATATCTTACTTCCTCAAGAAAACCAATGCAACAATAGAATTTTCTAAAGAAAGATCGAATCTTATCAGAATCCTGCAAAATACGATAGAATCTTGCAGAAATATTGTCAGAAACCAAATGATGGAATCGCATTCTGATTTTTCGTGTTAGGATCTGATCGAACCCCAATATCGAAATCCAAAAATAATTAGGTGAGCGCGTAGATGGAAAAATGAGATGAAAATTCGAGTATAATTGTTGAGCTCACCTAATCGGACATTTTCTATTTGACTTAATCGTCACTGATATTTTTACGATTGATTGTATGAATGAGCTGATACCGTAAAAAATTGAATGTTAGATCTTATCAAATATCTGTTGGGCTTGAAAGAAATACAACAAAACTCTTTCGAAATTCTAGTACCATTGTTTCTATCATATTCAAATATTAAATTCCACAAGATGTATGTTAGAATTCGGACATCGGATTCATGAATGAATTTAGTCATCGAGCTCTGATAACTGATCGGATTTAATAGGATCCAAACGGATTTCTTCACTTGGAAACCATATATGTAGGAATTTCAACTGTAAGTAAAGATTATTTGACACAAACAAATATGAAAACATTATTCTTACAATAAGTTAGTTTATTTGTTGTGTGAGAATACATCCAATCAGTTCTACTTGAAATTCAAAAAATGATACTCTTAATAAAAATGATATTATTCATGTTTATATTCATTTTGAAAGTGTAGCTAAATAGATATATACATGTAATACAGCTATTTTGTTGAAGTACTACATATATGAAATAAAGTATCCATCTATTATATTATGCGGTTTCATTTTCGCTGATTCAAGTATATTTCACTTTATCACACTACCTTCTTTTATTCAAAGAATTTCTAACAAAATTACTATTTATAATAAAGGAAAATATTGATGAAAATTTTTTGATCGTAAAAACTCATCTACATGAAGTTTTTTTTTATTTTAGCACAATTGCGACATATTGGATTATTGGTAAAATTATTTGTTATAATTGCGAGTGATTTGTACTTGATGCATAGGTCTAACAAAGAAGGCAAATGAGTGTTTTTATCGAAGAGAAGTTGTTCAGCATAATCCGCATGTGTTTTAACCAGATTGAAAAGAATAAGATGAGGAAATATAATCAATATAGACGAATGTTGCTTATTTTCTTGTGGTTGATCATTAACAACATATAACTCTTTGAGAAAAGGAAAACATTGAGAGACAAGTATGAATAAATTATGTTCAAAAGGACGTCTATCAGTCATTGTTAAGCGTCGAACTGTATTAAACATATCACCTTGAAAAGAATTGTTAAGATGAAGAAAATATTCAAATTGATATGGAAATGAATAGACATGCGACATGCCTATATTGTCTTCTAATCTAGTATGGACGTAAGAACCAACTTGCCCATATTCTTTTCCAATGAAACTATGTTGAATATCTTCATTCGACGCTAGATTAATTTGAATGTTTGTGTTAACAACAATTGTGTTAATACTGAACGTAAATTTGTTCAATTGTGGCATATAAATAAGAATTTGATCATGTAACTGAGTACTATCAATATAAGTCGAGTACCTTTTTAGTACTACCAAGAATAATGTTAATTCTTTAAGATTTATCATTCGACGAAGTAATGGAATAATTTCATCGTCATAATGAGGTGCATACTTCATTGAAGTCAATGAAAAATATTTCAATTCGGGAAGTTTTTCCTACAATGAAAATATAATTAAGATTTTGTTTCTTTTCAAAATACAAGAATTGAAATTATATTTACTTTATTATTTCTATCTGATAAACTCAATGATATTTGTTTCACATCAATAATCAATGTTGATAAATATTTGAGATGTTGAACAAGTTAAAGACAATCATCAAATCTTTTGACATTAACTTTTTATTTAGTTTAAGTTGACGATGTGCAACTTCTTGGTGATAAATTATAAATAGAAATCGGAGTCTTCCGATCATAAAATAATTGACAAAAAATTCAAATTAATTAATCGTTGACATATAGATAAAATCAATGCAAATATACTTGATAGAGTTTTAGATACTTTTGATTTTGGCTTATACGGAACATCAATATTAAGATCTATAATTTGTTGACAAAGAATATGATGAAGAATTGAATAACCTGAAGATTTAAAAAATAAAGACAATGAATAAAATAAACTATGAATAATGTACCTCTTAAATATTGAAAAAGTATTTCTTCTTGAAAATTAACAAGTGATAATGAGTAAAGTTGAGGATAAGCAACAGTAAAAAGAATATGTTTCATTGAATTTTGTTCAACAATAAGTTCATTTAATTGATGATGAATTCGTGGTAAATTTTTTTCACATATTCTTAAAAGAACATTCTTGTCTATTGAAAAGTTACGATCATAATATGATTTTATGACCATGCTTGTCGTATCAAGATTCCGAATATGAAGTGAATCAAATACTAATCGATCAAATCGTTCATTAATATCCACAAGCGAATAGAGAGCATCGACCGTATTCAGTTTATTGAAAATGATTAGTAATATTTCATTAGGTAAATCGAGTATATTAAGATTATTGTTATTTGAAGTGTCCATTTCTGATTCGGATTATCTTATTTGTTTCATTTTAGATATGAATGCCTTTCTCATTGCCGTCTATGACCCCAAACAGACTGAAAAAAAAATAAAACGAATTGAGCAATGTGATCGGTTTATTCCGACTTAAATCATTTTTTTTTACACGATTTATTCGCTAATTCGGTGTTAATTCGCTTTTTTGTTTTAGTCTGTTTGGAGCCTATGGCAACAATGAAATCAAGATAAATATTGATGTTATAAAATTAGACTATGATGAATGGCTGATGCATTTTCTATTCCGTCTAATATTTTTCCTTTATTCATGAATGCTCCGTTCGTAAGGTCATTTTCTTTTATCGCAACGTTTATATTATGTAGCTTGATTTTCATAATACATAATATTATGTTTGAATGAAATATAGTATATCAAACAGACATTAGAAATCTACTTAAAAAATGGTCAAACGTATCGTTGAATAAAAAATACCATGGATTTTGTTTTATTAAATTGAAAAAATAAATATTGTGAAAATATAAGAGGTATAGGCCGTAGTTGGTTTGGTTGGATGTAGAAATTTATAAGTCTGATGCTATAATCCTCGTTCCAAAGACGGGGATTGAAAGAAAAATCTAGTATAACTCCGAAATATTGATAAAGATTTTTCATTATTAAATCATTTGATATACAACGTGATCTTTTTGAGTAAGAAAAGTAAATTAAATTCTTTTTTTTTTGTATTTTCATTTTAATATATTTATTTGATGAAGAAGCACGAAAAGAACGTCATTGATTATGAATGAAAAAGGAAAAGAATTCGTTGTTACTATGCCAGATTCTCATCAATTAGAATTTCTTTTGTGTACATCAATATTTGCAATATTTGAACTAAAATATAAACCTCAACGTTGGATTACTCTTTATACATTAGCTTAAATAGCTCGATTAGGAGATTTTTTTATTATTGATGGAGGATTTAAATTTGTTTATGCTCATCATTCATAGTTTTTCATCATTTATCCAAAGAGTTTTTCGTTGTTTTAAATATATTGATCGTTTTCATTCACTATCTTATATATTATAATAATTGATCTTTCAAATAATTTTCAAACAAGTCATCATACATTACGACATAAGCATTCAATTTATTTTGACTCAAAAAGAGAATTATATATTGATTTTTTGATAAAGATCGTTTAATTTATTTAAGGCCCCCCTCCCTCAAGAAATAGTCTCCCGCCAATTTGGCTTCGTCATCTTGCTAAAATGCGATATCCGTCCTAATGCATTGTATAGAGCTGAAAATTTCTATGCATACTGGAAATGGGTCATCTTCGTACCACTGAAAATTTCAGCTCGATTGCTCGTACTTTGGCTAGAGATATAACAATTTTACTACACATGTCTGTTTACATGCGATGGCTTTCCGTATCTTCAGCGCCATTCCACCACAGTACAATAGAAAGTCAAATACTTTTTTTTTGTTTGAAAGCTCGTCTCTAGGGCTAGGCTACCTCGTGGCCTGTTTTTTAAAATAAGCTTTTTTATTATCATATAAGAAAACACCTCTATAGAAAACGCGCCATTTTTTAAGGTTTTTTGTTTTGAGTCATTGAACTTGTCATCCCTTTCTTCGCTTAAAAAGTAAAAATTTTAAAAAAATGCCCACGAGGTAGGCTAGCCCTAGAAACAAGCTTTCAAAAAAAAAATCAAATTATATGTATATAGAATGAAGGTCCGCAGAGAATTTTTGGAGATGAGATGAACTATTTTCTTGACCCTTGCTTGGTGCATATTTCCCTCAAACCATATAATATAAGGCTGAAAATTTTACTATAGCCTCCTCACTATAGCCCCAACATATCCTGAAAATTTCATGTGATTTCAGTATACCTGGACTGAGATCGGCTTTTAAGGGCGGGAGGGCCTTAACATTTGATTCACCTAATGAAATCCCTCATTTTGATCATGGTGCTGTTTATATTGTTGATGGAATTTATGATAATGATGAAAATAAAGAACCGTTAACATATCAAAAAGCTGCTAGACAGAAAATTCTTCATCAAAAATTACCATTAGAAAAATATCTTGCGTATGTTTTATTTTATAGAAAAATAAAACAATTTTTTGTTTTTATTTATAGATTTCATTCAACATCAACTCGTGCATTAGCTTTTCATGAAGTTTATAATATATTATTAACATTAAAACATATAAATAATAATTTGGGTAAAATCAATTCGTTATGTTCCAAAAAGAAAAATTGCTATTCGAGTAGAAAAGGTAACAGAGAAAGAAGAAGATGAAGAAATTGAATCGTTGAAATCTTGTTAATATTGTAGTATTCATGACTGTACCCGTATTTGTTATTTTGTATTGTTATTATTAATCTTTTTTAAAATAAAATCTTAAAACAAATCACATTTACATTAAACATATTTGAATCTTTTTTTCGATCAATATAAAGTCAGAGAAAATCATTTCAATAACTCACAATAACGACTCATTTTTTGCTTCGGTGAGTTCATAGCATTTTAGAGATATCAATTTAACCTTTTTAAAATATTTATTATATAATTTTTTTTTTTTTATAAATTATTAGTTTTTTGTCTTTAATCAAGTCGTCTGAATATTTTTATTGCAACATATTTTATTAATTACACTCAGATTACACAATGATTATTAAATTAAAAGCGAAAAAAGTTCGTTTTTGTTTGCATTATTTATATTAGAAAATACCCAGCTAGTCAAATATATTGCTTTTATTTAAGTAAATGTTTTTGCATTATAGAAGCATATTTATAAATGTATAAAAATAAAAATATGCGTGTCACCAATAAATGAACAATGCTCCTTAGGTTAATCAGTTTTTTCCGAAAGAACAGTTAAAACGTCGTACAAGAATAAGTAATAGTGTTGCATAACGATTCTGTTTGTCATCTCAAAACTGTAAAGTAAGTTGCATCATACTTTATATTTATATAATTTTTCAAATATAGTAATCATGAAATGAATATATTGGAATTTTAACATACAAGAGATATAAGAGAGAATTTAATAATAAAAAACACTGAATACATTAAAAAAATATAGATATATGAAAGTTGAATTCAACTGTCAAGTTTAAATATGGATATGAACATAATAGAAAACTTCATTTTTGTTTTTAACTTTTGAATTTAACTCCGAACAAAATATCTTATGCTCTATCTTCTATTTCTTTGGTCAAATATTGATGATCTCGATCACGCGTAACCGTATAATCACTTTGCGAGTCTGCAGTAGTGAAGGGTTTGGAGATATAATGCAATAGAAGATATTCATAATTGGTTTTTCTTGTGGACTTTGGATCAGTCCAAACATGGGCAGGATAGTCAAAAAAACTCCAACTTCTCGATTAGAGATGAAAAGAGTTTTTAAAAACTCACGGCTAACTTCGTGCTCGTGTCAGCCACATTGAACTACAAGGACAGAGCATCAAAAAGCCAATCAAATACAATTACCCAACGGTTACAAGAAAGAAAAAAAGGAATGGCGATCAGAGTGAGATTTGAACACTATCTAATTTAATATTACATTATAATGTTCTTTAGGTTATAATGAAAACAATTGAATAAATGTAATTGATGAATAGGATCTTTCATGCGGATAGAGTCCATTAGACTAGTAGATTCTAGAAGGCATCTAATGCTCAACTAATATTTTCTTTTTGTCTAGTAATATATGAAAAATTGATTTCTGTTAGAGTTCTAGATGTCACTCTCAATCAATCACAGGAAGAAAAAGGAAAGATACATAGTTAATAGAAAGACTTAAAAAACAGTTGTTTTGAGTTTTGAAGAGCGTCTATCTGCTTTTTTTGTTACCCTTTTTTAACCAAGAAAGGAAGAAATTTGACCATTTTGTTCTATCATCTTGTTAGGCACCAAAAAACATCGAATTTTTTTCTTTCCGTTCTGTATATATGACGACAAGGTGACAAGCGTTCATATGTCATGAATACTCATGTTTATGAATAATCAATGTGTAAAGAAAAACGAACACATTAAAAAAAATGTTTCTTGTTATTCAAAAAAGTGTGAAGTTTTAATTTGAGTTTTTGTTATTGTAAATATCTACCGTAGACTATATTTGTGTTCTTGAATATTAAATACTTTAGATTAGTGACGTACAAAAATTGAAATAAGATGAGCTTGAATATCGTATCGTCCACTGAAAAGAACGGTAATGTTGAAGATAAATATGGTGTAACACATGTCTGTCATGCAATTAAAAAAGGTGATAAAGATCTTATCCTTGTTTATATTCAACAAGGACTTGATATGAACTATCGAAATAGTGTCGATGGTGTAACAGCATTTATTCGTGCTTGCAATACAGGAAATGTTGATATAGTCAAATTTTTACTTGATCATGTAAATAATCTCAATATCAATATAACAGATAAATGTGGTCATTCAGCACTTGATTATTCATGTCAATATGGTCATAATGAAATTCTTCGTTTGCTCCTTCAACGATCAGAACTTCAAGTCAAATTATATTCGATTCAAAAAGGATTAACAAATATTGACGTAAACATTTTGAAAGAACTTATTGATCGTTATAAAATCCAAGGGAATTCGTTATTGAATCTTTTAATCTTTCTTGCAAAAGAGTCTGCGTCACTCGATCTCTTTCAATATGTACTTGGCGACAAGACAAATTCTATTGTTCTTGCTGACGATATTTTTCTATCGGCCTGCCAAGGACAAAATAATATCGACACGGTCGATTGGTTATTGAACGAAGGTGGTGAATTTAAATCAAAAATTAATACATGTACCGATGTGAAAGGTATGACAGGGCTTATGCATGCAGCATATAGTCAATCATACTCGATTGTTAAACTATTATTAGAAAATGGAGCTGATCCACATGTAAAAGATCATAACAATTCTGATGCTATTTATTGGGCTGAGATGAGTTATGATGATGGTGCTGATTATATGCGTGTTAGAGATCCACCTGATATCGTTGTTGATATTATTCAAATTCTTCGTGAATATGAACCTCATTAATATTAAACAATGTTTGATTTTCTTTTTTTTTCCTCTGTACGCATCTATATCTTTGTGCATATTTTCTTCATTTTAACCGAGTTCACAAGTGTTACCTGTTCTCTATTCTTAACTTTGACTGTTTAAATTTTTATACTTCGATCAATACAGATACATGCAATCGACTTTTTTGCATCGGTGATCTATTGAAACAAACTGTTTTATTGAAATTGATATCAATGTTTGTTCGAATTTTAAATTTGACATAATTTTTTCTCTATTCAATCTCGTTGACTAATGTCCAATGCATAATTGGATTCACTAGAACAGCTGTCATTAAAATAAGTTGCTTTCTATATTTTTTTGAACATTGACTTTTGTTTCTCAATAGACAACCAACATTCGAATCTCTAAATAATCATTAAGTAATGCATATCGAACGCCAAATTACTTGTCCCTAGATTAAAAAATGATGAAATCTAACGTTAGTCTAACAACTGTTTCTTTATTTACTCATCTATTGTACATAATTGAATTTCTTTTCAGTAGTCAAATTTGAGTCTTGTATATTACACAGAATCTTATCATTGATTTTCGATATGACAATTCTTTATTTACTCGATCAAATATTTTTTTTTTAAGAAAGTCTTAAATCATTATTCTCTTTAGTCGAATAATTGACTTCAATCAAATCGTTATTTTACTTTTTTGAAGTTACTTTCTTGTTCACGTAATAACCAATAAGTTTGATCATTTCACTAAATGGCAACATCGAATAAAACATCTGTTCTTTAGCGTCGATTGAGAAATAAGAATGAATTCATGATTGAATATCTGTCTCACATGTTTTTAGTTGAATCTTCTAGAAGATTTACTTTGAAAACAATCTTGTCCAAATCAATAGCAAATAATTCATTTTCAACATGAGAGATTCTTCAAACAATTTCAATGAAGTTGCTATTTTAAAAATCATGAGTAAGATTTTCAAAATTATAATCAATCATTGATTGTAGATTCTTTTCTATTAGAAAGCAGAAGAGCAAATAATTGTAGAAAATAAGACAATGTCAATCAAAGAAAGAGATATAAAATAGATATTGTCGTCTTCTATTGTCAATGAAACAGGTTCAGTGTAGGATATCGAAACGAAATAGTTTTATTTCAAGTCTACTTTATCAATTTATCAACCAGACTTCATGAACTACATAATTAATAACTCGAAAATAGAATTTTTAAGTTGTTTGAATGTGTTCGGTCTGAGTTAAAAGCCGTACCAAGGATGATATTTTGACTAAAATTTTGCATTTTGAGTGTACCTAGTAAAATACGAGAGACCAAAGCTTTGTATACATGAATTGATAAAATTCAGTTAACCACCTTGTGGCGACATCTGTCTACACTTTCATAGATTTCACAATAATTTTAATATATACATCTGTTCGTTAAAATTCATTAATATAAAAGGTTTCTTTGAACAAAGGACAAATACCATTGCTTTAACAATAGTTGAATCATCAATTTTAGGTAAACGACTATGAGAATGCTAAATCTTGGATACAAATGTTTAAGTCACTGTCATTATTCATATGGATGTTAATATCACTTTTATCTTTTTCGTCACATTTTGCTCGTCAAGCTCTGTGACTGTACATTTAATTTGACAGTTACAACCAAATCGATACTTGTCATACAAATCGTTGATTCAGTATGACTCAATGCATCTATTCGACATTGGTGGATAGAAGAAAGAAAATTTCAGATTACCTTATTTTTGAGTGAATATATGCACAACACGCGTGGCAATAACGACAAAATTAGTTTCATTCTTTCCTTTGCGCAAAGGTGATTGCAACTCAATATTTAAATACAGTCAACTACTTAGTACTACGTAAACATAAATATTTATCACACATCAAAGTAATGAGTAATACATATTATTAACTATTTTATTGCTATTACAATCGATAGAAAAACGGTCTTTGCTTCAAAAAAAGAAAAACCTCAATGAAGAAGCACTATCATGTATACGGTGTGGGTGCTGCACTTGTAGACACAGAAATCAATGTAACCGACGCCGATCTTGCTGCGATGAGAGTCGAAAAGAGTATGATGATACTAGTGGATGAGGTGCGGCGAAAACAGTTGCTCGATCATCTTGCTGATCATTTAGTGTGTTCGAAGCGAACCAGTGGTGGATCCACAGCTAATGCTATTACTGCTACTGCACAATTTGGCGGCAAAACATTTTACACCTGTAAAGTTGGAGATGATGACAACGGTCGATTCTATTTACACGATCTATGTACAGCAGGTGTCGATTGTCAAATTGATCAGCGCCACAATGAAGGTATCACTGGTACTTGCTTGGTGATGATCACTCCGGATGCTGAACGCACATTAAATACGTTTCTTGGTGTCAACACGACACTATCAGAACATGATATTGTACCGCAAGCTATTACCGCTTCTGATTACGTCTACTTTGAAGCCTATATGGTGATGTCACCAAGCAGTCGTGCAGCTGCCGTTCGTATACGTGAAATCGCCGAACAGAACGGGATCAAAACTGCAGCTAGCCTTTCGGATTCAGGTGTCGTGTCAGATTTTCGTGATGATTTACGTGAGATGTTCGGCAAACATATGGATTTATTATTCTGCAATCGGGCTGAAGCACTGACTTGGGCACAAACCAACAATCTAGAAATTGCCATCGATAGTTTGAAAAAGTTTTCTCGGACATTTGTTATTACACTGGGTGCTGAAGGCGCACTAGTCTACGACGGCACACAACTGCACACTATTGCACCCTACAGAGTACAAGCAGTAGATACTAGTGGCGCGGGTGATATGTTTGCCGGTGCATTTTTATTCGCTATTACTCAAGGAAAAGATTTTCCGACAGCAGGAAAATTCGCAAGTTTCGCTGCAGCAGCTGTTGTTTCGGATTATGGACCACGTTTGAGTGCAACGAAACAACAACAGATTTTGGTACAATGGAAAAGCATAGAGCAAAATTTATGATGCTAAATAAAAGACATATGTCAAGAAGTACTAAATAGAAGTGAAGATGTTGTGAAATAAATAAGATAATCTTGTCCTAATTCATTTCATAAAACTTTATTATCAACAATAATAACAATAACAAAAGTTGAAATTAAATAGAAAAATATTAGGTAATGGATTTTGATTATGTTGTCATTTTTCTTCAAAATTATTCATACGAATTCGATTTCTGACAACAATAAACTATTGCACTTGTGGAAACGTCAACTGATGCACCGAAGTTTTGACAGCATTGATACAAGCTATTTTGAATGATATTTTTCTATTTGACAAGAGTAACGACATCTTCAAACATACTGAAGTAACAAACTCATAATACTTAACAACAATAACAAGTTCACTTTGTCTTGTACATAAACTTGCGAGATTAAAATATCGTATGATGAGACCATCAACATTTGTATCATTTTCAGTTATCAATAGTTTGTCGAGATACCTTCTGAGAGTTAGTTGCCCGTTAGAAAAATTACAGTTCGTATGCCATTTAGTTTTCTCAAGATGTTGTCTGATATATGACACTCAACGCGTTTTATTATTTTCATTTACTAGGCTCAATTTGACACATCATTATCCATTGTGCTGAACTTCTTCATCTATTATTATTTTCTCAAATGAATCGATATATATTTTCTATAACGACATTATATTGAGTTCAGATAAACAAAATGATTTTCACTGACAGAAGCATAGTTTATGAGTATTAAAAAAAGGTTGAAAAACAACTAGACACGTGTTTATATTCTGTCATGACAATAATTGCAACGTAATGGCGCAATACTGACTGTTTCTTTAAGTTGTTGTGCATGCAATTGTAAAACATACGTTGCTATGTAATTATGTCACATGTCACTCTTATTCGACTTGAATCATTAAGTAATGAAGTGTTACTTCATATTTTGGAATATCTCGATGCCTATATGCTCTACTTTGCTTTCTATGGGCTAAATCGTCGTTTTGATGAACTTCTTCGTTCGTGTCATCTTCATGTGCTGTTTGATGAGTCCAAACATGACCCCATAGTCTGGAATACACTAGCGTCATCCATTGTCTATTTCCAAATTTATCATCTATCGTTTCATAGCAATACTATTGGTATCATTAATAAACAAATTTTACGAGCAACTGGGCAAACTCTTTCTTCTCTCTCGCTCCAAGGAACTGATAAAGCATTGATAGACTTAGTTATTCGACAGCTTGCATCCAGTAATCAAGTTAAACGTTTGACTATTGACATCGGATCGACAAGTGGCTTTAGTTTTCCTTCTCTAGTGAATTTTGTATTTTGTAAATATGCTCATTATTTTATATCACTTGTGGACTGTTCATTACGGCTAAGACATGTTAGTGGTGAATTTCATCGAATCACTGCTATTTTTTCCCATCTTCATCGTTTCTCAATAAGTCGTTGCCTTTGGACATCGAACACCGTTTTATTCCTTCAAGATAATACACCGAATCTTCGATCACTTCGCATATGGCCACAAGAGGAACTATTATCTACGTCGATGTCGTCAAATTATAAACTAAATCATATTCGCGAACTCGAGATTATTTACAATTCTAAATCACCTAATATGGCATTTATGTTGGCCTCGTTTCCAGCTTTACGACGACTTCGCATTGAATGGCGAGATCTTCAATGGATCTCGATTCTCTCCGGTGGAGAATGGCAAAAAATTATTGAAACACATTTGCCTGATCTCCAACAAATGACCATTGATTTCTGTGCTGTGCACACAAGTGCGATTGATGAACAGATAGTTAGAACATTTCAACGAAGTGAATTTTGGTCGAGAAGACGAGTAATAATCAAGATGACAACAGAGAATCATGAATCGCGACATCAACGAATTGAAACCATTTATTTCGGAAAGCGATGGCACTTTTGAAATTCTATTATATGCATTGCTGTACATGTCTCATTAAGTGACGTTTTCTATTCGCCAATCAACATTTGATTAATATTATTATCACGACAATTGTCAGACAGCCATGAGCTGCTCTATTACTAAACGATCTGAAACAATGGTGTTTTTTTTTTGAAAACTAACTGTTAGAAGAATTCAAAAGACTGTTTCATGCATCTTAGGGATTAAAAATTGTTACGAAGACCGTGTTGGTTCCTAAACAGAAACATAAAAATAATGAACTTTCTTCGGTTTCTAACTACAACTACCTTCAAGTAACATTTTCAACATACATTTTCTTCATTGCGTACATGCTAATCTTTAACTGAACTCAAAAGTAAATCAATAAATAAATGGCAAGTAATTGTAATAGCAACGCAATGTAGAAGATCTAATGTAATTTCTTCGAATCGGCGTTCGAACTATTTACAAATAAAAGTATAATTACGCAACCAAATCATCATGGAAAAATCTCTGATCCTTGCTGACTAGACCGGATAGAATGATCATCTATCTGCAACAAACGATGCAACGTTTGGATGGTATCGACTAGACTAGTTTACTAATTTCTATCGAACAAATACTATTATGCAGTTGTTTTCGATTATCAGACACTATTCTCTTGTAATTCTCTTATCTTAATTAGTAACAAAACCTTTCATCATACGAGATAACAAGAAATATTTCCAAACACTTTGTGTACATAGTAGTAACAGTGAAAGTCATTCAATACTGGTGTATGATCCTTTCTCTGGGTGAAAATCGTGGATATTATATTCGAAATTGATGCTGTCGATCTTATTTTTGGCTATTGCATTAAGTGTGACGCCTGTCTTCTTTCCTTTTCTTATGCGGCCTATACGAAAAGTCTCATAGAAACATAAGAATAAAGCTATTTTTGGTCGATCAGTTAGCTACATTAAATATTAGGATTTGGTTGTAGCATGATCATTTATTCTCTATCTATTTGAGGAGCGAAAACACATAAATGAGGAGAAAACAAAACTTTTATTGAGCTAATTCAAACAATAAGACAGTGGTAGTAAGAGTGATTAACATTCGTTCATACCTAGCACACAATGATGCGACTTGAAATATTAGCTATGATTCTGGATTGAGAGAGAAAAATTCAATAGTAATATAGAAATTTATTGTTCTCGTGTAGTATACACATCATCAGTATAATAAGTTAGATAGAAAAAAAGTCAAAAGTGATGATGTTGACCTAGACGCATAAGAACGGCCTTTCTTTATATCAGATCGGCTATGTTCATTGGCATCTCTTGTACTTTGGTATTGTAAAATTGTTCGATGCTACGCAATGTTGCTCGATCTTCATCGGTGACAAAATTAATTGCGACACCTTTGCGACCGAATCGACCGCCACGACCAATGCTGAAAAAAAGAATTAGGCAAATTGACTTTTACATTGTTTCTTTTATGTCAAATATTTGAAAGTGAACATACCGATGAATGTAATTTTCACGGTTATTCGGCAAATCGTAATTGATGACCACACTGATTTGTTGAACGTCGATACCACGTGCCAATAAATCGGTTGCGATCAGCACTCGACTGGAACCAGAACGAAATTCTTTCATGATGGTATTACGGTCCTTCTGGTCCATGTTACCGTACTAAACGAATTAAAAAACAATCGAACATAAATAGGCGTTGTCAAAAATGTCGAACAACTCTCGTTCGTTTGATCTGCAGAAGAACTGTCAAGGACTTTATGATTCATAGAGTATTTATTTTCTGATGAAGTTCAATACATCCTCAGTAAAAAACGTGCATGTTTGATAAAATTGATCCAATTAGTATTTGCTAAAATGTGACGTTCAGAAACTTACCATAGCCGAAACAGTGAAATCGCGGTCGGTCATGCTTTTTGTCAAAAATTCGACTTGTCGACGAGTGTTACAAAAGATAACAGCTTTCGTAATGGACATTGTTGAGTAGAGATCGCAGAGCGTTTCGAATTTGTGAGCCTAAACATGGCAAATTCATGTATGGTGAATTTATCGAATGAAAACATCGACTGATGGCTATTGAACACTTACTTCACGTTGAATGTCGATATAAAATTGCTGGATACCATCAAGCGTCAATTCTTCTTTTTTGACGAGAATTTTAATCGGATCAGTCATAAATTTTGTTGTAACTTGCAGGATGTCACTGGGCATAGTAGCCGACAGAAGAATGGTCTAACGAGAGGCAAATCATCTTAAAAGTGAAAGAATCATATTAGTCATACCTGAATATTTTCTGGCATCAACATGAAAATGTTGTAGATTTGTTCTTTGAATCCTTCTTTAAGCATTTCATCAGCTTCATCCAACACAAGCATTTTGATATTCTTGCTTTCTGAAGAAATTTATCATTGAAAATTCAAGATTAATGTTAAATGTTAATAACTTACGAAGAGCTCTTCGCTGGAGCATATCATAGACACGACCTGGTGTGCCGACAACAACTTGTACGCCTGATTCAAGTCGTTTAATGTCGTCCTGAACCTTGTTACCGCCGATACAAGCATGACATGTGACACTCATATAGTCGCCAAGTGCTAACACCACCTTTTGAATCTACATCCAACAAGAAATCGACTTTCGTTTATGGAAATATCTCTTAATCATACCTGTTGAGCCAATTCTCGTGTAGGAGCCAAAATAAGTGCTTGGCAATCTTTGAAATTCACGTCGATTCGTTGTAAAATCGAAATAGTAAATGTAGCTGTTTTGCCTGTACCCGACTGTGCCTGAGCAATTACATCGTGTCCTAAGCGAAATATGTGTTAACTGATTCAACGCGATCGACCAATTCTTTTTACTTACCCAAAATACACGGTTTAATTGCACGTTGCTGAATAGCAGATGGTCGCTCGAAACCAAAGCCATAAATACCACGTAAAAGTGGTTCACGCAAGTTCATTTGATCGAATTCATCAACCAGTTCGGTCCAATTACTCTCGATGATCCCGTCTAAAATGAGAAAACGTTAATTGATATGTTATTTCAATGTATTCTTTAAATATACGTACTTGGTTCCATCGAGGGCACACCCACGTTTGAACTCTGGTTGACATCACTCCTAGAATAGATATACTGTCCATTAGTAGACTATCGATTTATTTCAACATGTATTCAATAAGAAAAAAAAACAGCTGAATGCCTGCTTTCAATTTCAATGTGGTTACATAAAAGAAAGCTCTATGTGGCAAACATTGACAAGAAGATCAAATACTATCCAGTCAGAGAAACAATTAAAAATAACTCGTAAGAAAGCGTTAATCTAGAAAAGTTTTACGTGTTTTAATGCTTTCAGATATTACCAACGTCATAAAATGTGCAAAGAAGGAAAGGTAATATGGAGTGCAAAATGCGTACCACAGAGGTACAGATTTTTATGAGGTACAAAAAAGTCACAATCGATTACAGATGGCAACTAATACAGACACACCCATGACGGCTGCAAAAGCACATTGCACATCGATGAAGAAGAGAATCGATTAACAGTGCTTCGTAGTTTATCGTTGGGTTGCTCTGTAAGAAAAAAAATTTTCTTCATCTTACTCGTATAGAGACTTGGTATTGTTTCCGTTTGTTTTTGATTTTGTTTGACTGACGTTCATAAATGAATTACAGTAAAATAAAAATACATTTAAAATATCTAGAATTCAAATGAATAAATAAAAACGTTGAGTATCATAATAATAAACAAAAAAAAGCAGTATTGTTTGGGAAGGATTGGAAAATCTTTGTCGTCGGAGAGAAATAAGAAATCGACTCACCAATAGTAAATTGTATGTGAGAACATGTCTCAATTTTCATCCACTATATAAATGTAGAAACTTGCGTAATCGTATTCTTGCGAAATTACGAAGGAAAAAAGCCACTCAACATGACGTAAGTGTTTAAAGGTCACAAAATAATAAAAAACATGAAATAAACCAATAAGATGAAAAACTCGTCTTGAATGGGAACTTTGTCAGAAAGAACAGCTATGTAAAGTAGATCGAAATTGAACATGAACAGCATTTCAAGCAACTTGTCCTGATTTTTCTGGTGTTGTTTGTGATGCTCAATACGATGTATGTAGTTGGCGTTGGTTGTCGAGTGAGATTTTTTTTGATCAGTGCACTTATTGACAAAAAGAATGTGGGTGTGCGTAGAACAAACTCCCACACTGTCAGGCATTGTTTTGTGAATCTGGTCATATTAGGCAAAGGAAGAGAGTACAATAGAAGAGTATTTGTTGGTCATTTATACTTTCATAAATGACCATTTTTGATGAGTCATTCGATAGTATGATAACACGACTGAACTCAGTGTTATCTTTTATGTAGAAACTTTCTTGTTGTTATCGTTATGATTTTGTATCGTTGTTAGAAAAAAACAAAGAAAAGGTCAAGATTCGAAATTATAACTTGATTGAATTTCGCTTCGAATAATCTAAGAAAGTCTTGGTTTCTTAATAATTACAAATCGACTTTGCCATGCATGTTCATAATCAAATCAAGTACAAATATGATTATCTACTGATAAAATGTAACAGAGGAAGAATTCCAGATTGGATTTTGAAAGTTTTTCTTTTGAATAAAACAACCAATGATGCTTCATCTTGATTGCTAGAGAAACATGAAACTCTCCTTTTAAAAAAGATATTTGTGCAACGAATGGAGTTTTGAATATTCTCATTTTTTCATTTGTTTTTAAACTTTGAAAACATCGAATTCAGATTGTACTTTATATTAATGCATCGATCACAGTATTTGTTCGATTCACGAAACAAACTATCCATGAAATATTTCTCAAATTGGAAAAAAACAAGAACTGATGTACATGTTAAGGTAGCGATCATAGATGAAACCGATCTGAATTTTTGACGATCAGTACCGGTATCGGTCGAATTTGGTCAAATCGAAGTGATCATTCTAGGTTTAATGCTCGCTTTCATAAATAGTACGTCAATGATTCAACTTTGAATAATGCATCAGTTGAAGGATATCTTTAGTTTCCAGTATTTTTTAAAAACATAAATCACGACTCAAAATATTTTGATTCTTCATTGAATAACAAATTAATTATTTGTAGTAAGTTTCCACTTTATTAACAACTCTAATACACTCGCATTCTCAGAAAGATGAGACTTTTATTCATTTTATGTACAAAACTCACAATTTGGCTTGTAATGCCTTTTGTAGCTACACACATTTGGATCGATATTGATCTTGCCACAACATTTCCAACAAAACCATTGTCTACAGTAGTTCCTTCCTTTATGGTCACATTTCTCTTATGCTTCAGTACATATTTTAGTTCGAAAACTATAAGAAGCCATGACATTAAATCTCTCAAACTTCATGATTTGAATGCACCAAACTTCCTTCGGATGTGAGTATGAACGAAGAAAGAGATCGTACCTGCCCACGTTTATACATTATTTTCATTGATACTTGATGCAGTATAGCAATGTCAAGGTCTTATTTTTCTGATCCAGAAAGCCAGAAAATCAAATATTGACTGTTGAAATAAAACTTCATCGATTTTAGAAAAATATACCTATGCTAGTAGAAATGTAGCCTACAGCGACATAGACGAGAATGATGAAGTTAACTGAGATGAACAGGCAAGACCGAATTGAATATTATCTTTCTTCGGATGAATGACATGACATTCGCGGTTTTCAAATATAATGGCGTATGATTCCTCTAACGATTTTTCATACACATCTCAATAGCAAGAAACAACTTAATCGATAAAAAGCAGCATCGAAAAAGTCTTTTTTATAAAGCTATAAAAAAAGCATATAGATAATGTTTTAATGAAAATAATAAATCGATTCGATTTTTTCGTGAGCTGAGATATGCTCATCATAAATCTAATAAAAAAAAGACTTGTTTATTGTTTCATTATATAAAATACATAACCATAACTCTCCGTATACTTCTTATACAAGTCAATCTCACTTAGTTGTTCATTTAGCACACTTTCTGCTTCTTGATGTCCCTTGTATTTCAGTTTTAGCTCGTGAATTCGTTGTTCCATCGGTCCATAATACTCATTCCACCAATCGTCTTCAGCCAAAACGAAACTATCAATCAATTCATAGCCGCATTCTTTTATAATCCGGATATTTTCTTCTCGAGAACGCATATTTGGATAATGTTTCGACCAAAAATTATGAGCTTCGAATGGTGGATTCTTAGTTAGCCAGGATAGTTCGGAACAGACAAGATAGCCATCCTTCTTCAAAAATTTCTTCCATTCAGTAAGACCACGTTCGAAACCAATAATGTAAATTGAGCCTTCCGACCAAATCACATCGAATGTATTTGGAGCAACGAATTCAGGCAGACGAAACATATCACCAACTACTGCCGTTATACGCTCTGAAAGATATTCTTGCTTAGCTCGTGTCAGTACAGTCTCTATGAATAATTCATGGTTATCAATTGCAATTAAGCGATGTCCTAATCTTGCTAAATCGAAGGTAGTCACACCAGAACCACAGCCAACATCCAGTATGTCTAGATGTCTGTGACTCGGATTAATAGAGTGTAGAGCTCGAAGAGTCGATTGAGTACTTCCAGGACCTTGTCTTGGTAAACCATTGTGGATCTTAAAGAAAATCTGTCGAGCAAAATCATCTGACGGTAGAGACATATCGAATCGTATGTAATAACTAAAAGAAAGGAAAAATGATAAGCAACATCGAAAAGAAGCAAGAAAAGAAGAACAGCGTTGCTTTTTTTTCTTTTATCAATATGTAACACTCAAAAGTACTTACAAGTTTATAAAAAAAAAAGACAATCATTTTATCGCTAAGAGTCAACTTGCATATGGGTGAGTGTGGGTGTGGGAATCAATTTTATCTCAACTTACACCCCACGCGCACCCACACCCATACACCCACATCCCACCCTCAAGCAAACGCTTCGCAAACTTTGTCTTGAAGCATTGTTTATCATTCGAGATATTTTTGAAAACGAGTCGATTATCAAATAAGGATATTGGTATAGGTGGATGTGTGTACATATATTTCTGTTCTTCTTCCCCCACACCTCCACCCATCTCGAATTCAACTTAAATAACAAAAACAGAAAGTATGGTCGATTAACAAGGTGTAAAAGAGATATAGAATACTAAAATGAAAAAGTTATGTTTACAGATCAGATTGTCGAAGCGTGAAATCCATAATCTTATTCAAAAAAAGTAATTTTGAATTTATCTTGTAATTTTATAGTGACGAGAAAAAATTTTCTTAAAAAAACAAAATAGGCACATTCTTATTTCTTTAAGATATAAGTTTTGATTGAAAATCAATCATAATTGGATTTTAAAAGCGGAAACACATTAAAAGAAATATTCCCAAGGTACAAAAATAATGTTCTTGCAGAGTTTTCTTCACAGTTCGATGGAAGAAAAGAGATACTGCAATGTTGATACTCGTCTACATATATTGATGTTTGTATCAATTTCACTAATCCAGTAGAAGTTCTAGATTTTTGATTTCATACTAAAATTACTGATTGTCTTATATGTGTCTTGTTAAAAAAATACAATGATAAACGATTTCTAACTTCAAAAATTTGCTTAATACTTGGGAAACACTTTCTGTATCAAATACTTGCTTGTAAAAGTCGAAATTTGCAGTAATTTTAGATAAATAGAACATGAAGTATCCAAGTTTTTATTAACGTTGGAAGTAAGTTAAGAGATAGATGGAATTTTCTGTCATTTGTTCTTATAATGAATAGGTGTTAACGACAAACAATGAAAGAATCGTTTATGATCTGAGCTAGAACATCCATTCTCAATCGAATTAAAAAAATTATTTTTTTTAATATCTAAACTGATAGGTTTCAAAAATCAACAACAAACATGAGAATGAGAAGAAATAAGAAGCTTGCACCATCAACTGATAGGCAAGATTAATATATTAAACTTGAATGATAATAATGTCAAAGCATTCTTTCAGCATGTTCTTAAAAAATAAAATTAGTTCACATTGTTATCCATATATGGCACCTTTATTGATCTGTCAGGTTTTCAAGTCTGCATTTTCTTAAAATTTTACTTGTTACTGCTGATTTTATCTGGAAGTGATTGATTGACATACAAATAATACAAATAAAACAAAAAAAATATATATAGTTCGATACTATTGCATTAATTATTTGTTTCTTGATTTCAAAGTCGTTACTGTAACACTATTTACGTTTCCAATTTCCAGACGATTGTGAAATGAGAAGAATATTTAATTTTGTTTTTTAAATTGATACATCATTTTTGTCTTCGATAATCTTGTCTAATTTTTATCATATGTGACAGACGAGAAAGTTGTTGTCTTAAAAAAAAAAGTATTTCTTTTTAGCTAAAAATATTGCAAACAAAGGGTAAGAATACATTAGACGTCAATTCACAATTATCAAACACATTATGTAGAGTTCGATGTACAATTGAATATTACTTGGATTGGTGAATACTTGAAGTCGATTTGAGTGTTTAGAGCCAATTCGGTCCTCACTACTGGTATCCTACCTAATGATCCTGGGCGATATTTAGGTGATTTCTACAAATTCAAAGTTTTATTCATCTATTATTAATTTTCTTGAAAGATTATGAAATTCAACATAAATTTGTATAAGCGCAAGTTTATTGAGAGGAATATATTGATCACAAGAAACACAACATCATCTTATTCAACTGAAAACAATTTTATCTATAGTTTTCACTTCTCTATGAATTCGATTAGTTTTCAATGATTGAAGAATATTCATCATAACCACAGCCAACGAATTCATATCTATACATAAATCGACAAAAACTAATTGAATACCCTTGACAGAATCTAAAACGAAGAACTAATCATGATGTGCTTACTTCTAGCAACAAAAAAGTCACAAATTTGGTTTATTAAAGGTTTCTTCTTCAATGTCTTTTTTGGTCACAGCAACAAATGATGATGAATGGGTAATTCTTGAAGAGTATTTTCCTAATATATCACTACCATCTCAAGTTAATGTCGTTTCTCGATCAGATCATCCTATATACAAAAGTTCTCTGTCTAATATCAGTCGGAATAGATAAATATCTGTCACTGGTTTGTGTTAATTTAAGTCTTTAAGTTGGATGTGGGTGTCTGTGTCTGTATCTTTGGTCACCTACCCACGCGCACATCCACATCCACACCCACCCCACCCAAAAAGTATCAAAGCATTTGCTTTATAGAAGTTTTATCATGTTTCATCATTGGCGGGCCGGACCATAATTTTCAGGGGGGGCAATAAGCACTTTTTCGCCTAAAAACACTTGTTTTCATGGCGTTCTTCTTAAGTCCCAGCCAAAAAAATTTTTTTACGGGGGGCAATTGCCCCCTCTCGCCCCTATGCCGGCCCGCCCATGNCCACGCCACACCCACACCACGCCCACACCACACCCGCACCCACCGAAACCCACACACCCACGTCCAAAGCCAACACACCCACACCCACACCCACCCATACTCACCCCCACCCACACCCCACACTCACCCACACCCCACACTCACCCACACCCATACCCCACCCACATCCAAGTTCAGCACATCCACACCCACGTCCAAAGCCAACACACCCACACTCACACCACACCCACACCCACACACCCACACCAACACCCACCCACACCCACACCCACACCCACCCTTGTCAATCTTTTATATTAATTATTACATCTAAAAGGTTTTGAATTTGATAAAAGAAAAAAAAGTACTTCATCTTTATTAGAAATAAAGTGCAGAAGCCTGTTTAAAAATTTTCTGGATTAAATAAGTGGTAAGTCAATGTTCAAATATAACTTTGAATGTCAATTGTTCATTTTAATCTCCTTTGTTCTTTAATTCAAATGAAATAGTCGTCAAACCATTAGGAAATAATGCCAGGACATCATCTAACTTACAGTTGAAATCGATTTCTGTTCGATCATCATCTAATGCTATCAACTCATACATGTCCATGTTATCTTCTGACTTGTTTAATATCTGTAGTACTTCTTTAATTATGGTCATTAGCAGTGTATCTTGACAGCATGGCAATTTAATGATTTGATTGGAGTAGTTGATCGAACAATACAGAGACGCTGTCGATACCAATTTAAAACTAATTTCGGTCGCATTTTCATCAGTAATATCTTTTAAAGAAAGAGTGCTATCTGTTAATTCTGTGTCATCATCCATACTTAAGCAGTAATATTTATTGTTCAAACAACATAATTGGCATGCAATCTCACAAAGACGTTGAACAGTAATCGAATCTTCACAATTAAATTGAATCGATTTATTTATTTCCTTATTTTGTATAATCACAGTAACTGGTAAATTTTCATTGATCATAGTAAATTGAATTGGTGATACTGATAGAAAAGATATTAATTGAGTATTTTTTGATGGAACAAAATCATTTGAATACATAAGATATTTATGTAAAATATCTTCTTGATTTTCTTTATTAATATCAGCTATAGTAGCAAAACTAATAAATCGTTGAAGTTTCTCACTTTTTTCTTCATTATTATCGACTTGTTGTACATTATTCGATTTCTTAATAGATATAAGACAAGTTTCGTTTTCTTTCACAAGTATAAATTTTGTTTTATTTAAGTTTGAAAGTATTTCATTGGAATTAATAATTCTTTTCGTGTCATTTGTAGCCAAATATTTGTAAACATCGATTGATTTTTCTGTTAAATTTAACAATTGTTCAATGGTTATATTTCTATTTGATAAAGGTATTTTAATTTGTTTCTTATCGTCATGTTTTGTTATTTGAACTGAGATTGATATTTGAAAATGAATTAATTCATTGTCAACAGTTGCATAAGTACTGATAGGCTTTTGGAGATCATCTTTTGTTAAAGTAATTTCATTTGGCTCTTTCAAGATAAGAACACAATCATCAGAAGATACATCAGTTAAATTTAATTGTTTAAGAATATTTTCGTTATTTAATAAAGAAGAAATCTTCATTGAGTTTAATACGGAAATAGTTTGATTATTTGTCTCAAATGTTAAGATAACTTTACTCAAACTATTTCGATTGATAATATCGATTGTTGTGGATTCTGTTTGATCTATTGTTGATGAGAGAATTTGATTATCATCAATGATTATTTTCTTTTCTCTCATAAAAAATGCATAATCATTAACTGAAGGTTCATTTATATGTGAGAGCGTTTTTAACCAAAGATTTATTTGTTGCCATTTTGTTGTTGAACAAAACAAATTTATAATTTGGTTTTCATCTATAATTAAAGAAACTTACAATATCAACCACTAATTTTTCAACTACTTTTGATCATTCGTAGTTATCGACGTCGGGTTTCTGTCATTAGATGAAAAATTCATCATGACATTCAAAAGTTTTGAGGGAGTTCTTTCACAGATGCTTTGAAATAGATGCATTTTTCTTTGTTTCGAAATTTCATCTTTGGTTTGAATTTATGCTTTGAAATGGTTTCCAAATCAGACGAGCTCAAAATTTCATACATGAAACTTGAAGGTTCATGAAAGAAGAAAAGAAACATGGAGATTTTGTTCCGCGTTTCGTTAATACTTTAAGATAAGTTTTTCTAAAATCTAAGCATTTTATTAATTGAGAAAAGTTGTCCATAGGAGCAATGAGAACTTCGATGCAGTGTCTTATAATTGTTTATCTATAAAAAAATTGGACAACAAGAAATGAATTTTGTCATTAGTGTGGAAAAAACTATTTAGTTACTTTTGTTCTATGATAACTAACTAAATCAAAATCAACACAATATGTATAGTTCTCTCCTGGCAAAAACAATGATTTTATTGAATTTGAAAATGTAGGATTTTGATACAAGTTTCCTGTGTGACTTTGATATGACTGCCTCTTTGGTGCGAATGTGAATTTCGATTGAGTGAGTACCAGTATACTCGCATTCATATTCATATAAACATTTATACCTACATTCTGGTATATTTTGATGCATATTAAATGAAAATCCTCAAGAATAGGAGAAACAAGTTGATTCAATAGGTCTTTTGTTTTAGTCATCCATAGCCGAATTTAAAAAATTTCTTGATCGATTCAGTTTAAATTTTGACAAAGTTGAACTGATATCATCTCCGATATAAGTTCTACATTTCAACCCGCAAAAGACTACCCTAATAAGCTTTTTTTCTTTTAATTACCATTTTTATCTTGTAAAGCAAGCTCATATAATGTGTTACCATTTGATGTTTCTTCGGTCACAAAAATTGAAACTGTCTTACAATCTGGTTTGCAAAGATCATTTATGATTCCATCATTAATACATTTACCGTATTCGTCAAAGAAACATAGAATAATATCTGTTGATAAAGATTTAAGTTGTTCATTATCAATAAAATGATGAATCATAGTTGAAACATTGCATTTGGATGTAGTTAGATATTCTTTCATTTGTGTTCGAAAATAAATTTTAGTTTGAATTAAAAATTGTTTTTCAATGATATGATATTCTAAAATTGATGGATCTGCTAAAAGGTAATTATTCTTTGTAAAATCAAAAAACATTTCATTTTTATCCACAACAATGTATAAATCATAGTTATATTTTTTATCATCGAATAATTTTTTAAATTGTTCACAAATATTTTCCCTCTTCCATAGAGCTGATTTCGATTCTCCATTCGGATGTATAATAGTATATTTTGGTGGCCTAGTTACAGTCGTTGGTTCTGTCAATGGTTCCTTTCGATATTTATGTATTTGTTGAGACAAGCTTGATGATATACATGAAATTGCTTTGAAATTTAATTTCATTAAAGATGTATATTGAATATTTTCTTCGGGAAGATCGTTAGAATTGGGCAGTGGTTGATTTACATATGGATCATTATTATGTAAATTATGTTCATTCGTTACATTAGGAGTTGTTTCGTTTGTATCAATTTCAGGAAGTTGCCAATCATCGTTTGATTTATTAGTAGTTTCATTTTCGTTCGATTTTTGTTTATCATAATGTGGATTTAGATATTGTTGAAAACGACTTCCTTGTTTCTCTTGTGATTCATCTGCATTAAAACTTTCATCCCATAATTTCATTTTTTGTTCTTCGATATTAAATTTTTGTTCTTGAAGTTTTGATCTTGTGCGTATTAAATGAATATAAACATCGACATAATTTTCACATTTTATTTTATCAGGTATCCATGAAAGTATTGAATTTTCAATTGCTAAAAATCCACATGTTTCTGTTAGTGAGTGTGTGGATTGTTGTTGAAGTTCATCTTCAATATCTTTCAGTTCATTAAGAAATGTTGTAATTGTTTGTATCGTTGTTTGAATTTTATCAACATTATTGTTATAGTCAATGTTAATAATATTTTCATTTAGGTTTTGAACAAGTTTATCATTTAATTGAGAATCAATATGAATTCGAAGTAAAGGTGGCATATCTGTAAATAAATGTTGAAATCCACTAACTGATTCTCCATAAATTTCAATAACATGATCAATATAACATAATTGAAAATCTTTTATTTCATATTTTTCTAATTGTCGAAGAATATCATTATCTTTATCAGTCATTCGAACAAATTCAAAAAGATAATTTGATGAAAAATCATTCTGTTGAGTTTTTAATGTTAATGCTATTTGTCTTAGAAGTTTATAAGTATCATAAAGTTTGTCTAATAAAATATCTTTTAAATAATTCCATTCCTTTTCAAGTTGTTCATCATTTAATCGAACTAAGTATTTTTCATCGAGATCTAAATGTTCATCATCTGTTGTTGTTGTTTTTGTTCGATTTGTATGACATTGATATTTTTGAATAATATGACGATAGTTAATACGACAATATAGAAGATATGTTCGAATAATCTGTGATTGAATATAAACAAAATCAAACGTAAATCGAGAATCTGATGTTATGAAATATTGTTCATCGTTAAAAATAAGACTTGCTTGTGATAACTGGTCAATCCATAGACAATCTCTGTCATTTAAATGAATAACACCAGTATTATCATTTACCACTTGTAATATCGAAACATTTTTTGATGTCAATTCTTTGATTAAAGTTCTCAAAGAATCAACAGTATGATTCTGATTTTTGTTCAATTCATTTTCCATCAAATCTAATAAACTATTGTGATAATCAACTAAGACACTAAAAACAAATTAAGATATTTAATTAATGAAGAATTTCATGTCGAGTATGTCAGTTTCAGATATCGTTCTAAAAAAGCCGCAATATTATGCTGGTTTCTGTTCTTTAAGTACTCAGCACGAGCATACGAGAATTTTAACATAGAGACTAGGGTGTGGGTGGGAGTGGGAATAAAGGAGAGAAGTACACTGACATCCACATCTACACTCTCATCTGTTTTAAAATTTCTCTTTAAGTTTTCATCATATCCGAATAAAAAAAATCTCATTCATTCAGTCAACATTTGAGACAACAGTTCTTCTTGAACACTCATTCTAGTGTTAATAATGAAAATAAACTTCAGTCATGTGGACTCATAAAATCTCAAATGCTATTTATTCAAGAATACCATGGATAGAATGAATTATTCGGAATGTTAGTGTGAGGGGAATTACAGTTTAGGATACTTTTTTTTCCTTTTACATTTTTTTCAGCATTGCAGTCTAACACATTATTCAAAAAAATCTCATACATAGAACTTAAAGTGTTCTGACTTCATGTGTAGTTCAAAAGCGTGCTACACTGGAGCATGAAGCTCGAAGTTTGATGTTAATTGAAAACTTCCTTTTCAGTTCTAATCATCAAAAAATTGAAGTTAGACATTTTGTAAAGTGGAATTGAAATTTAAAACAGTACATATTGTTCAAATTAACATGATAATACCTAACATTAAAAGAAGATAAATAACTTAATGATTATTGGCGTAGCAGTCATGTGTAGACAAAAGTAAGCTGTAGTTTCAAATTGTATTATGATAAAATTATTGCAAAGTTCGTAATGGGAACATATTTTTATCAAACGATTAACGCAAACTATATAAAGCATGATTTCGTTTTTGTTCAATTGAACTACAGAGATAGTAGCGTAAAATTCTGAGTTTGTCTTATTTTTGGAACATAGAATTGTTCCCAAAGAATATTGTCTGGGACTAAAAGATATAAAATTAACCTGATTATACGCATGACAATATCGCCTTCATCATGATTTTCATTTGTAACTAAATAATTCACTGGCGTTTCCCACCCAATAGTTGAAAAACGTTGCGTTTCATCACAAGCACCTGGTCGAATCAAACCATAAGAAAATGTATGATAAAGATTAACAGCTTCAATTCCATTTTCAATAATTGATCGATGTGTTTTATTGTCATTTTGATCTTGTTGTTGATAAGAACTATTGTAATAGATTTGACCACGATCATATAATTGTTGTAATGCTATTGTGGAAAATTCATTTCGTTCAATTAATTTTGTATAACTTTGATGTAAAAGACAATAGAATTGACTAAGATCATATATTAATTTAGCTATTTTTAAAAATGGTAAAGATGTTAGAGTATGTTGTAAAATTTTCAGAGATATTTGTGAATCTGTTAGACGATTTACTTCAGTTGTAAAATGTGTAAATTGAACAATAATAGGCATTTGATCAATAAAATTTTGTAGATTCATTTGTATTTGTGATTGTAAACTTAATTGATTGACATACGCTTTATATTCAGCCAGCTTATTATAAGTGAAATAAAATACTCTATCTTTATATTCTTGTTCAGCTTTAATTTCATCATCATTAGTTTTATATACAGATTTAATCCATGAATTTTCATTTTGTGTTAGAAATGCCATTTGTTCAAAACAACGTGTCAAGATAATACAAGCATCATTTTGATTTGAATTAGTTGACAAAAAGTGAAATGTTGATAGTAATCTGGTGCAAACAAAATGACAAATTTTAGCTCGAGTACTTTCACCAGCAAGGTGATGAATTGGTTCATCATCATCAATAGCTGATGGTGCAAGAATTGGCCCATACAAATTTTGAACAGAGTCTTCAAATAATATAAGATGCCATGCCTGTCAGCGAAAAAAATTATTTAGAAAAAGCAATCAACTATCAAACTTTGAGAAAAACTTACCAATGCACCAAATGTCGAGAAGTAAGCAACATAGACAGATGGTACACTTAATCCGTTTGCGCCTTCGGCATGCAAGAATTGTAATAAATCGCCATTTTGTGAAATAATACAACCACAATCATAATGAACACCTTGTTCTTGAATGATATATTGTGAGGTTGATCCGAATCCTAATTATTATGAAAGATTAATCAAGAAACAAAGGACTTGAATCGATGAGAGCAGTACGTAAACTTCATCTCAAAACTATATTGCATACAGACATATATAGCGAGTATAAAAGGGCCGTTCTGTATTACGTGAACTCATATTGCCAGGCGTGTCACAAGGAGCTCAGACCTCCTTTCATTCTCTTGTGACATAGATGGAATTAGTACCAGTCAGAATATTAGACTGGCCGCTCTACTAGTTTGATATTGGTTTATCACTCTGTTACCATTCCACAGATATTTACCAGTGTACTCGTCTGTTGTGAGTCTGTTACCCTCTCATGGTTCTATTCGATCTACAGATCTGTTTTTCATGTAGCTGGTGAACTAAAAACTGACATAATGCTAAACTATAATTGTATCTATATATAAAACAGCTTGTTAGTGCAGCTGCTTTAAGGCTAAAATGTAAAAGTCACATACCTCCCATGGAACGAAATATCCGATAAAATTTAAAACGAATTCCTATGGTGTGTAATGAAAAGAGGAGAACCATCAAAACTTCATCTTAAAACATACATTCACAATTTTCTTCAAAAATATCAGTAAGATCCAAAAAAGCAATGTAGCCAGACTAATACTATTTATCACGCAACAATTATTTTAACAAATACTTTAAAGAATACTTCCAACGAAACTATTACCCTCATTAATAAAACATTATGTCACTCTATGGCAAGATATTCATGAAAGTACACTTTGAAACAAGATTTCATTTTTAGACTCTATCTTCTGTCTATAGACTGATGCATTCTCAGTAGGCTAGGATTTACTGATAAATGAACTATCACCACTCTTGCGTTTACTGCCAATAGATCTTTCAAACCGCTACACTTACGATCTTATCTGAAACTTTCAGATCAATATCGATTTTATCTCTGCCTTACAACACTGCAACTAATTCATATGTATAAAAATAAAATATACAGGAACTCGTGTTGTTTAGAACTCACTATGCGAATTAACAAAATTAAAGATCTATCTAGTTACAGAGAATTCATCGCATACATGAAAAATGAATTCACTAATTCTTTTATAAATAACAGAGTTACCACCAATCTTGTGTGTTGACTGTAGGTATTTTAAGCTAGATTCGACGAAATCAGAAAAAGAATGGGTCTTATGGCAGCATTGATGCGTGTAACACGAAATCAATATTTAAAAAGTCAAAGACAGGATAGAAACTCGTAATGCATGAATTTTTTTCATGCTATTAGTGCTAATAGGACGTTATTATGTATGATACATATCGTTTGAATCAAAAATATTCTTCAAATATTTTCTGATATTCAATTCAAAGATTTGTTTGTTGTTTTCAACGATTCTATTTTTTTCTTCGAGAACAAATTAGTAAGATAATGTGAGATTTTCTTATATTACAACAGAAGCAGAATAAAAAAAAGCATTGAAATATATTTCGGACAAGATTATAAAACAAAAAGCTCTTTATTACTCATTGGATTTTATCGTTCAATTAAGTTTGATTTAAAAACACGTAAATGAGACTATATTCTTTAAACTAATTATTTCGGTTTATAGAGATTTTCAAGAGTAATCTTTCGATTACTTAATATTCGATTACAATTATTAAGAAAGATTAATCAAGAAACAAAGGACTTGAATCGA